CTGGATAAAAAGGCCGTTCCAATCGGCCGCTTCATAAAAAGTACCTGAAAACTAACTTTCATAATAGATTTGATCTGTTTGCAAAGAAACAAAAACAAAAACTAGCACCTCACCAAGTAGGGGAAATCAGATTCCACCACCATACATAGAAAGTAGTAAAAAGTATCATAATCAAACCAAAAATAGATAGTAACGCGTGAAACTTGAGCTATCATCCACAACCCATTATAAACATAAAACATAACTACGGATCTAAAGATACATGCATAAATTAAAGCAAATTAATTGAGATTCAAACTAAAATCCAACGCGCATCACTAGATCCCGATCTAGAATTCGGACATGCATTTGTCTTTCCAAAACAGTTGCATATTCCTATTCGTATTTCCCATCTATTGATGGAGACCACCGATACCATCCACACCTCGGACCATAAAAGACATGAAACCATTGAAATAAATATGCAAACCTCGGTTGGGTAGGAAGACAGATGGGAGCCGCTCCCAGATGCGGCGATCGAGAGCAACGCCATGGCCGCACCCACGTCGTGTGGACAAAAGGCCTGGGCTTTACCCCCTCGCAGATCTAGGGCTTGGTCGCGCATTCTTTTCCTCCACGAGACGACGTGTTTTTCCATTGAGAATAGATGAGAGAGGGTTTCGCTGCGGGGATCGGCGGGAGAGGAAATTATAAAGGGGGCGGGGTTGAATATCTACGGAATTATTTTACTACCCCCCACCCCCGCCGCCGCCACACGGCGGGAGCCTGAGTAGGTTAGCGGAATCATACGTCCTACGAGGTGGGACCTAGCTAGGTTAACTATTGTGATGTGGTTCAGTATTTTAGTGAAAAATGTAAAATGATGAAGGGTTAACCCCAAACCGTGTGAGAATTTACAAGGGCAAAAATGTACTTTGGTGTAATCCCATTGTCTCACCACATGACCAGAGTGTTTCCTTCTAAGAATAATCATTTCCTCAAAAAATGCAAACATCAGTACCGTGCAAAACAAAGGATGGGTAGGTAAGGATGGTTAGCATACCCATGGAAAATCTACTAACTTTATTGAAATTCCATATTTGTGTATCTAACACATTCGATTGACTTGTATCTAATAGATACTCCCTCCGGACTATGTAAAGCGAGAGGACTATTGTTATCCGGCCAAGGTGGTGTCTAATTCTCTAGATCGCCCTATTGATTTGGGAAATTAACCCAATTGGATCCATTGCATAAATAGGGATTGATACTGCATTAGTGCCTTGATCATTTCGCCTCATCCATGCAACATAACAACACAGATACAATCAGGGGGGTGTAGTATTAACAACGCCCTAGAAAAATGAAATCGGAATATCGAACACCTCGGCGGCGGCGGCGATGTGCGTTGGAGGCGGAGGGGTTTGGGGACGTGAGGCGTCTGCAGCCACGGCGGCTACATTGAGGCGACAGCAATAGCCTCTAGGGCATAAAGAAGGATTAGGGATTCGGTGGCCGCATTGGGTCGGAGCGTTGGATTGCAGCCTACACCACTGGTCTCTCCGGGCTGGACCCCCCGGTGCGAGCGCCAGCAGTTGGCGCCGAACCAGTATGTGGCGGCGGCGGCCATCGGACTGAACGCCGAGATTTTGCGGCGGGGACAGCATGCACGGCGACAGGGTGGTTTCAACCTTTTGTGTTGATCACACAAACGAGACAAAACTCTCCTAAAAAAAAGAAAAAGAACAAGAAAAAAAGGAAAAACATAAACAACACAAACGTGTATAAATTGTAGATTCTATGAGTACTAACTTCGTCCTGATTTATTGGTCCTTAGTATTTTGTGTCAAATTTTTACCATATATTTAACTAACAAAATAATAATGCATGCCATCAGAAATTATATCGTTTGGTTCGTATTTGAACATAATTTCTAATGATATTATTTTTCTGTGACATGCATTGACAATTTATTAGTTAAATTTAAGGTCCAACTTTAGCACAAAATGCGAAGGGAACCAATAAACCAGGACGGAGGTAGTAAGATATAATTCACACAACGCTGTCCTAAAAGCACCAAAGACACACAATACCAAATATACCCCTGCATAGTTTCTCAGCAACATCGTTTTCTCTCTCTCGCTGAATGAAAAGGCTGTTCCAATCGGCCGCTTCGTAAAAAAATAATCGAAAACTAACTTTTATAACAGATTTGATCTTTTTGCAAAAGAAAACGCAGGGAAATCAGATTCCGCCACCACACATAGAAAGTAGTAAAAAGTATCATAAACAAACCAAAAATAGATAGTAACATGTGAAACTTGAGCTATCGTCCACATCCCATTATAAACATAAAACATAACTACATGCCGAGATACATGCATAAATTAAAGCAAATTAGTTGAGATTCAAACCGAAATCCAACTTACATCACTAGATCCCAATCTTGAATTCTGACATACATCCGTAGTTGGAAAATAGTTGCATATTCCTATTCTTGTTTCCCATCTATCGATGGAGACCACCGATACCATCGCGCCTCAGACAACAAAAGACATGAAACCGTTGAAATAAAAATGCAAACCTCAGTTGGGTAGGAAGACAGATGGGAGCCGCCCCCAGATGTGGCGATCGAGAGCAACGCCATGGCGACATCCACGTCGTGTGGACAAAAGGCTTGGGCTTTGCCCCTTACAGATCTAGGGCTTGGCCACGCATTCTTTTCCTCCATGGAACGACATGATTTTCCATTGAGAGGAGATGAGAGAGGATTTCGCTATGGGGATCGGCGGGAGAGGAGATTATAAAGGGGCAGGGTTGAATATCTATGTAATTATTTTACTACCGCCACCCCTGCCAGTGTTGCACGGCGGGAGCATGAGTAGGTTAGCGAAATCATACGTCCTAAGAGGTGGGACCAAGCTAGGTTAACTATTGTGATGTGGTTCGGTATTTTGGTGGAAAATGTAAAATGGAGGGTTAACCACAAACCGTGTGAGAATTTACAAGGGCAAAAATGTACTTTGGTGTAACCCCATTGCCTCACCACATAACCAAAGTGTTTCCTTCTAAGAATAATCATTTTCTCAAAAAATGGAAACATCTGTACCGTGTAAAATCTACTAACTTTATTGCAATGCCATATTTGTGTATCTAACATATTCAATTGACTTGTATCTAATAGATACTCCCTCTGGACCATGTAAGCCGAGATGACTATGGTTATGC